ATATTTATATACTTCTGTTTAATCTGATGTTGTTTGCAAGTTTTCTGGAGTTGAAACTTTGATCGCTTCATTGAGTTTGGTTATAAAGGGTACTAGCTGAATATTGTGTTGATGTAATTGTTTTTTGGTCCACATTCCTTGATGCCACACTTCTAATGTCCCTCACTGTGACCTCTCTACTACTAAATCTTGGATTAGGATTCATAATTGTTAAAACAATTTTTTTTTTCTCTTTTCTTTTAAATTTATTTTCATTTGGAAGATGTTAAGCAGATATGTGATTTGTCATTGAGCTTGAACTATCTTTCATGTAGTAAAAGACAAGTTGACAAGAAAGTTCTTAAAGTTCCTTCCATTGAACATAATATAATAATTTATTTTCTGCTGATTGGCTTTTCTCTTCCCCCTTTATGTTTGTGACAAGGTGGTTTTACCAGTTTCTTATTCCTTTTACATTATTGTTAGACTGTTAAGAGTCGTGGAATGAGTTGGTATTTGTCTGATTCTTCCCGACGCTTTCAAATCATATCATTTTTTTTTTCAATTTGATTTCTTTCTATCTTGGAAAAATGGGATGTTTTTTTAGGTTGATGAGTGTTACTGTTAGAACAAAAGCCACTGAGATTGTGTATTTATAAAGGGTATGTATTTGGTTGATTAGGTGATGAACATTGGGTTATTGTAAATTTTTGGGAAATACTAAAATGGCCAAAAGTTAATATATTCTGGGGAATAATACTAATAAAATTTAGTCGTAGTCTCAACGATGTCAACTGTGTTGGAAAACAACATTACAGTGATGGCAGACATTCAAGAGTTATTGTTTTGATCCCCTTTTAGTATCTCCCTGTCAAATGTTTCCTTATTTATGATGTTTTGTTAGATTTTTTTTTATCTTTTTTTTTTTGTGTAATAATTAAGTGAATAAAAAGCTTTGTCTCAAAGAAAGAGAAAATAATTTGTCAAATTATGCATGCTTGTACAGAAACTCGACTTCTAGAGTTGTAAATTAATATAAGGTGTGTTCTGTTAGTCTTGTCTTGTTAGGACGTTCATATGATCTCTACAATGCCTATATTAATTAGTTGTAGATGATATATTTAACATAATTGTTAATGTGTATTTGAACTTTGTTGGGTAAACTTAAATTTAAGGGGTTAAGACACTCTTAACTGAATTGTTTTATTACGAAGTTATCGAATGACACGACTTTTTGGAGTCATCCATAGTATGTTTTATAAGTGGCGTGACACGTCTCCTTAAATTAATACATATACGACACATATTATTATATATTAACTCTCATTGGCTCTATATATAGAACTCATTGGGAATATTGTAAACTTTTTTTTATAACCAAGAATACGCATTATATTGTCTCAACAGAAATATTTTTGTTAATATTTGAATTTAAATTTATAATATTACTATAAGGTACTATGTTATTATTTTTTTAATAAAACAATATATTTTCAAATGTCTAATGTCATCTCATCAACTTCTTTAAATTTGATTCTTATTATTTACTTTTACGTGTTCAAATTGTTCGTCTCTATTATAGCCTTCTTTGGTGTTATTATTTTCTCTGCAGTGCGGTACAATGAAAATATGTTAGTAACACAAAATATATGGTGTGCTAATTAACTGAAAGACCTTGATTGTTTCACTATCATTGATGAAAAAATACATGTAAATACGCTCTTTTACCCATTTTTTTCGAGAATTCTATTACTTTTTTCAAGATAGTGCTTTTTCGGTCAACAAAATCGATTTCTAATATTACCTCACATTCTAAACTCTTTTCGAATTCGTTAATTTGGTTGTTTCAAAATTGTTCTCATCACATGCGCTTAGAGTGGGTTTAGCCATAACAGTTCAATTGGTGGAGTGATAAGTTACTATCTTGAGTCAGTGTGCAGAGCGCCTCTTAATTATGGTGTGGCGATTGTCCAATTAAGTACAAAAAAAAAGCGAATGATATAGTATTTATGAATTTTTTTAATTTAAACAATTTTAAAGTCCAAATAGAACCCGGTTGTGCTGTGCACAACCGTAATCAAACTAGTATATATATATTCGGATATTGCATTTACATGGTTTCAAATGTGGATTC